GCATGAAGAATCTCCAAAATTAGAATGTACTTACAAGTGATTTGTCACAATTTTCAGCTGACTCATCAGCAACACATGTTTTTGCAAATTCAGTTACTTCATTCACTAATTTTACATGCTCTTCAAATGGACACTGCTGAAGATACTGAGAAAAAGCAACCAGCACCCTGAAACAAAGGATGTAGAAAAATGTAGTGTAATAAAACTTTAATATGTAACAGATTGCTATGCTAGAGAACAAATCATGTATGGGTATATGTTCTATCTTTTATACATCTTCTTCACCATTATCCAGAAAGCCTATTCATATCAGGTATGATCTGAGGCCTAGATAGGCATGTGTGGCTTCCTAGGCAAAGAGGATGGTAGTTCCCTGATGTTTATACGCATGCGTGTGTCAGTAGATGCACACACATAGATCAAGCAAGCAAATTGTATGCCAAATAGATCTAATTGTCAAGACTAGGCATTTTAAAAATCCTTAGAATTACTTAAAACTAAAACAAATCCCACACTTTTCCTTTTTTGAGACAAGGTCTCACTCTGTCACCCAGGCTGGAGTGCAGTGGCACAATCGTGGTTCACTGTAGCCTTGACCCCTCAGGTCCAAGGGATCCTTCTACCTCAGCCTCCTAGGTAGCTAGGATTACAAGCACGTGCCACCATGCCTGACTAATTTTTTCTTTTTTTTTCAGAGACTTGCCCAGGCTGGTCTCGAACTCCTGGGCTCAAACAATCCTCCTGCATCAGCCTTCCAAAGTGCTGGGATTACAGGTGTGAACCACAGCACCTGATCCCCACACATCTCTTTAATTAGCCTGTAGGATTAGGTAGACTTTTTAAAAACAAACTATTTTCTCATTTTTTACTAGATTAAAAAATATTTAAATATTCCCAACTCAGCACAGGAGTGTTTGCTATGTAAAGAAGATTTAGTGGGTAAGCCACCAAAGGAAACCTATATTAAAGTCCTTTCCACCAAGCAAGTTCCAGAGCTGTACTGTCCAATGCAGTAGCCATTAGCCACATGTGACTATATACATTCAAATTAACTATAATTAAATACGATTTAAGTTTTTGTTTCTCAGTTGCACTTGTCATATTTGAAGTACTCAATAGCCATGTGACCAGTGACTACCTTATTGGATTGCCCAGATACAGAATATCTTCCTCAATGCAGAAAACTCTACTAGACAGCACTGTTTTAGAATCTGAACCTGATGACAAGGAAATAGAAGCATTTTAGAATAATAAACAACACTATTAGAAACATTAACTTTGATTCATCGATATTTTAACTTACAAGCCTTTGAAATGTTCTTCTCCCAAATCTTTAAACCGATGAGCAACCTCACTCTTGTCTGGGGAAGGGGAGAAAAAAAAGGGTTGTTAAATACTGAAGAAAACAAGAAGTAATAATGTTACTTTTTATATTTCTTTCCATTTGACTTAGATTATGCATTTGTTTCAAAATATTGGGCTCTGATTCCTACAGAAAAAGTCAGGATAATGGTGAATTATTTCTTCTGCCTTTAAACAGAGGAATAATTCAATTATCAAGAATACTATTTTTAAAATTATTAGATATTTATAGTTTTATATTCAAACAGGTAATATCTAATACTCTTTTAGTGTATATCAACAGCAACTGAGAAGACAGACTAAAATGAAAGTAAATATAAATACAAGTTCTATTTATGAGATCAACAGCACAGGTTTTGTGGCTTTTAAATAAAGCATAGTGCAATGGATAAGTCTTAGGGACAGTTATGAATTCAATCTTCAACTCTGTTCTGTGAAGTTTAAGTCACTCTAAGTTACTTTGCACTTTCCTTAGTGGGCAAAAGAAAATTACAGCCACTAAACAATTCTGACCTTTTATTTTACCTAGGATGTTTGAATTTTATTAATAAGATAACTTTGTAAGACTTCACAAATACAAAATACTATCCCATTTTAGAAATACATGACAAAACAATTCTTTAAAGATGCAGAGTTTACTAAAACTTTATTTTACTAGGAAAATAGAATAAAAGTTGAACAATAGAAAAATGGATTTCTTACGTGTATCTCGACGAAACACACCCCTGGAATAAGCTGAGCTAAAGAGAAAGAGAAGGGAAATAAAGGTTACCCACTTCATTGTGCCAAAGGCTCGTGGGATTGACAGAAGAGAAAAGCTAGGACAAACGGAGGGAAATTAGCACTAATATACTTCTTCAACCAATAATTGTAGATTATTAACTAGACTCATCTTTGTATTTCATTGGCTCCCAACAGATTACAAAATTCATAATATTCTTGCCAAAAAATTGTTTGACTAAATCCCTTGTGTATATTTACCATCTGGAACTGTTTTCTCCACAAGACCTTGTCAATGTATTAAAGTTGTGTAAAACGTCTTATCAAATTTTACATAAGAGTTTAAACGATTTGTATCTTTTATTCATTACCATGGTCTTTAACTGTAATTTCCCATTTGAACGTTTTAGTTCTCAGTGTTTGCAATTTAGTTCTCAATGTTTAGTAATTAGTAACCAAACTAAATACTTTGCTTAGAAATAAGACATACTGAAAGAGTTAAGTCCCAAATTGCATCTATTGCTAATTCCAAGTGTGCTTTTATCTATAATGAAAAATTTACACACGAGTGCTCATGCATGCACACACACCTATACATACATACATATTTTAGGGCTTCTGTGTCTTTTTTACTATTCTGAAGCCATTCTGTCTGAAAAAGCTGATGTTGCCTCAGATACAAACTAAGAAAAAAACATAGCAACAATAACAAGTAAGATAGGACTTAGAAATTCCCTGTTACCATTCCTGCTGTTGCCCACATGTGATTCAGGCCCTGAGATAGGCTATTTAGATTCAGTGTGAGTATATCACATGGGATCTTCAGTTAAGGAGAGATAAAGAGGAAAATGGACCCAAATGAGATGACGATTATCTTTGCCATAATATACAATGGGACAGGCTGACCCCAAATTCCCTGTAGGTTATGGGAATCCTTGACCTTCACCAGGCATAGGATTCTTTCCGTCCCTGTTTTGTATTTAATTCTCTCTTTCAATAAGTAGAAAAATCACATGTTCTTTTATGTTGTTTTTAATTTCAAAATAAACTTAACATTATGTCTAAAAACAAAGCAAGGGAAGAATAATTTTTTAAATGTTTCATAAATCTTCCTTCCCTACCCAAGGTTCTTATCTCTACCTTGGAAAAGCTATCCTACCTCTGCTCTTTCGCTCAAAATATGAAGAACTACTGAGCTCAACAAGTAGGAAAAACAACTTTCTCTGATACTACATAATAATAATTAGTACTAAGCCAGTTATTTTACTTAAATAACTAAGTCAGTCAAAACCGGCAGTCAAATTTCTCCATGGCACATAGAGGCACAGAGACTAACAAAGTATTATTTATTCTACTCAGTCTTATAATGAAAGAAAATTTTTTCTATTCAGTCTTACAATGAAAGAAATTATTTTCTATAATCTTATGTCATTTTATTTCTTCTTCAGAAATGGGTACTAATTAAATAATAAAGCACAGAAGAGGAAAAAATCAAAGCTAGATGGATGATAGATAGATAGATAGATAGATAGATACATAGGAAGATTTTTTTTAATGACTCAAGGGAGTCCTGAAAGGAAATACCAGACTTGTCTTTCTGACTACAGATGAACAGACATAAAACAAGTGTGCCTGTGGAATTATTTCCATTGAAGAAAAACAAGCATTTTTTTCTAAAGCCAGAAAAACCTACATCTGAAAAGAAAAGAGGAACTGTTCTGTCTTTCTAAATTAAGAAAATAATTATTTCTTGGATAAATTATGTCAACTTTTAACTTCCTAGAAATTGTAGGCATTATTTATTAGAAGTCAGTAACCAACCCTAGGTTTTTCCTTATAGAAGTCCTTGGGAAAGGCCTACCCAAACATAAAATCTTTACTGTTGAATATAATTGCTACTAATTGACAAATTCAGGCCTTTGTCACTCATGCATATACTCTGTGCATACTTTTTAATTTAACAAATAAAAAGAATAATATTAGTCCATCTAGTTTTCACTGCAATATTATATTGTAATATATTGTTACATACAAAGAAACCTAAAAAAATCTCAAATTCATCATGACTGAATAGAAGCTTCGAATTGATTTTCTTATATCTAATGAAGAGCCCCAGCTTTAAGACAAAATTGATGAAACCTAAAAGAATCTTTTCTTACAGTACAAATAAGGCATTTTGCATATGTGCATCCTACTAAAAGATTAATAGATAGTTTAGAAATTAAAATATTTAATTCTCAATGATATCTGCATACTTAACATTAACGTTTCTTACTAAGAAATACTTGAACAATTGCACCTTCTGGATTTGCAAAGTAAAAATTTCTGCATTTTTCTCTGAAAACCTCTGGCATTAATTCTATATGAACATTCTATACTGAGAGAAATAAACCTACATAATTGTTAGTTATTTCTAAATTTCCTGTTCTTCAAACTTTGAAACTCTGTTTAGTCAGTCATCAACGGGTTCTGGCATGAGGGTAAATGCAAATATTTAGAGTAAGAGTTATAAATATGGTTTAGAGATTCTCTTTACTCGGTAAACAGAAAAATAGCCCCAATGATTTTTAAGTGTTTTCTCATCTTTGTGCGAGAAGTTTAAAAATAGAGAGTAGTTAAGAAAAGTATTTTCTTTAGAAAGAAAAACAGTGTACTGATCATTTAGAAAAGAAAAAAAAAATACCTCAATTGAAATGTACATATACCTGGGATTTAAACCTGAGCCTTTAACCCTTTTGTTCTTTGTTTTGCATTCACTTTGATGGGATGGAAAAGGCACAGTTTTTAGGTAGATGAAATGGCACAGTTTTTAGGTAGATGAAATATCTCTGAACCAGTCTCCCATTTTCTGGCCACTCTGTCACTTTAAATCTGCACCCTTCTGCTACCCTCAGGACTCCCGAAGCTTCTCACTGAGTCATTCACACTAGGTTTGCCCTCCATCTAGCAATTCGTTTAGTCCAGCTTTTATACCATCTCCCACTCTGATAGGTTATACTTCTCTTTCTCTTAAAGATAAAGGGAAACATATTCATGGAAATGTAACAATATCTAATAATATCCTCAATATTTTATCAGAGACTATATAAACAACCACTTTACCCAAAGTCATTCCAAAATACAGGAAATTTGGATTCATTTGGAGAGAAAATTGGGGACAGAAAAATCTTACCATTTTTCTACTATAAAATGAACATATGCAGATCTTTCCTATCATGAACAGCTTGCATTGCTTTCTACAAAATACGGAGGAGTGGAAAAGTGAAAGACTGTTAAGCATCAAATTAACCAATTGAAACATAATCAGTAATTTAACTTCTTATTCACTTATGGAGATACATTTCCCCCAAAAAAAGTTAGAACAAAAGTGTATAAACTTATATAGGTATTTATAATGCTAATAAAAGTGTATAAACTTATGTAGATATTGTAATCAAATAAAAAATTGGAATGTAATCCAAGCAATTGCTCCCTCATTTCCCTCCATAACCCATCCCCCCCAGATATTCATTTGAATTAGTGAGAAATATGGAATTGGCTGAAGATTTCATAGGGAATGAGGAGAAAAAACGGTTACATCATAAAATCCACCCCAGGTCACCATCTTTGGCTTGTCCAAACTTTTAAGTCCCTCTGCCCCCAAATCTCACATGATGAAAGAGTCCCTCTCCTTGACTTTCCTCATGTTACACTGGGCCTCTGGAATTTATATACATTCGAATTTCCTGACCTTTTACTTTACATTCCTCAGTTCTTCTCTGTGCGGTTTACTCCAGCTCAGTGTCCGTTTCTAGCTGCAGAATTGCACATGCACATCTGCATATATCTCTATGCCATACAGGTCAAGTTGGACTAAATCATCTGTAAGGATCCTTCCACCTTGAACATTCTGCAATTCCATGTTTTCAATGTGACAGCCTTATCAAATGAGAAAAGGACCTGAGTGGTAGGAAAGAATATATCAAGTTAGGCAATTAGGATTCAAGTTTGAGAGCCTGTTCATTCCTAAGCCTCACAATTACTCCTCAAGTATTATGCTCTAGCTAGTTCAGCTTAATATTTTTAAAGAATAAAAAGTTCATTTAAACTTATTTAAACTATATTAATGAGACTTTCTCATATCTTTTTATCAAGTTTTTCAAATGCAAGAAAAATACAGCTATGTCTGCAATCCATGTTTATTCATTCTTAATAAATTAACAACGAATAGAATCTATAAACATATAAATTGAAATTAATATAATCCTGTCTCATAAGGATAGCCACAGATGGAAATTAAACAGAAATGAATGCACTTTGAGTCTATTCATATTCTATGTTTTAAACATGAAATTCAAGAAACTTGTTACTTAAAAGAAGTTTAAAGTTACAAAATTGAACTTTATAAACCTTCTGTAAAACAACTAAGATTGTATAGCTAAAATAGTCTCATGTTGAAATTTTAGTGGATAGAGTTTAGAATGTTTTTATTAAAATGTTTTTATTTTTTCTCCTTGATGTCTTCTATAGCTTTAGACTTTGTGAGAGGTTTTGTAATCTTTTAGTGCCAGTTCTTAGCTAAAACTTTCTCAACCCATAACCCAGCTGAAGCTTGGAATTTAAGCCTTGAAATTCTCATGAATTTTCCAAGTAGCTATGTGTGCGCTGACATCAATAATGAATGACTTGATCCAAAAAAAGTGTAAGTTTTAAGAAATATATCACATAAATAATTGGCAGATGTTCACTTTTTCTCTAGAGAGAAATTCATCTCTAGCCTAATTATAATAAACTACATAATGTAAATGTTATCAAAATAATTGTAAAATATTTTTGGGTATTGAATTGAATTGTTCAGTATTTGTTTTTCATTATGTAGATATTGAAAAGAATAAAAATGTTTTGTTAGAATAATACTTTGAAATTTTGGTTTGCTAAAATCATTCACTTAACAATAATATATTGCAACAAAAATTTGCATTTAAATAAAGAACTAATTTTAGTAACATATGATGTTGACAATGGCACTCTTTTTCCAAAATGCTTCCGATTTACAGTAGTGACACATCCTGTGTATTTAACAGCAATAAATTAAGTTACTAGATAAAATACAGATAAGTATTACTTTGATTCAATTTTAATTTTTAAATTTATACTGTTTATTTTTTCAGTTATGAATGTATTAGAAACAAATGGCTGTGTTTAAAGCATTTAATGTCTTGAAGGCAAATGGCTGTGTTGATGAGTCCAAAGTTATATCTGCAGTTACATGGAAAATTGACAAAAAATGCACATCAGGAGTGATGACATCTAAAAGCAAATATTGGCCAGTATCAACAAACGTGCTAATTATTTAACAACAGCATTCTTGTTGACAGGGCACAATCCATAAGACAATGTTTCATACTTATTTTAAGGAGCTGATTTCAAGGAGCTCACAATGTAACAAGGGAGACAGGAAAATAAGATAATTATAGTGAAACATTATATATTATATGCATGTAGAATACAAGGTACTCCTGGGATAATAAAGAAGCAGTGGAGGAGAAGCTCTAAATCCAAGGACAATCTCATGTGTAAATAAGCTGTGTGAGCTCTAACTTGCTTAGCTACCTATACAATCCAACAGACTTCAAATTTCAAATTTGTATTCACTGTCTTTATTTTTGCTTGTGAAGATACCTTTTCCTGGAGAAATGGAATGAGTTGGCAGAGGACTGAAGAAAGTAAGGAGGATATGATGATGTGTAATTTCTAAATGTTTGATAAAAGATCCAAGCAAAGAATTAGATCCCAGCTTCAAAGACAATGAAACTTCCTACAGAACTTTAAGAAAGAAAAGAAACGCAGGTTGGCAGGCAGAAAAAAAAAAAAAAAAAAAAAAAAGCAGAGTTCGCAATTATCTGGGTTTCCAGGCAAAACTAAGCATGAAAATGATCATTTCTCTCTCCCATTCCACGGCCTTCTGTATACCTCAAACATCTATCTCTTAGGGGTCCCACCTTTCCAACTACTACTCAGCCTCTAAGTTCCATGTGCCTCCTTTCTAACATAAATCTCATACCAAAACTTCCCTTTCTTAACCTGTTGGCAAACTCGGGTAGGTCTTAAAGATTAAAAATCTTACTAAGCTAATTCCACAAAATCTCACAAAACCTCTCATCTCAACCCCATGCTCCTAATCTCATCAACACTCCATTTCCTCCCCCATATCTAACCTTTCTAGAATGGAGGCATTTTATTGTAGAAGGGACTGCCGTCATGCCAGTTAATTCCTAATGGATGGAATTTCAAACGGGTGACAAAGTGGAAAAAGAACCTGAAACAGTGGTTCCACAGTTCTTCGAATCTCACCATGGGAGTCCTATCCCACTAGAACAAAAGGTTAACTGACCCTTGTAAATAACTGTTAGGGTCTGAACTTTGGTGCTTGAACTTTGGAATCTCTGTTTGACTGTTCAGAAAGCTTTTTTCCTTTTCTATTTGGATCATTGAGGTTTTTAGATTAATGTTTGCATACAAAATAAATGCTACAATTTATATCCTACATCCCCCAATATAATAAGTTTCTTGAAAGCACTAACTATGGCTTATCCTCACTATATCTAACACTAGATCCAGATCATGCCTTGGATACAGAAGCCATTCGAAACTTTCATTGACTGTCAATTTAATTTGTCAGATCAAGAGTCAACTGTACCCATATGGTAAATGTCCATGAGCAACTTGATACCATGCATCCTCTACATTTGTCTTTTCTCATTAGAATGCAATCCAGAAATTAGTGTAAAGGGATACCACGAAGGTAAACAGGCTAGCAGAAGCTGCCTTACATCAATCCTGACCAACCAAAGAGGTTAAAAATATTCTAGTCACTAGCCAAAACAGGGTCTATTTAAATAGCCCAAAGATATACCCTATTGGCCCAGCAGCCACACCACATTCATTGCCCAGAATGTTACTCAATACTTACAATGTGCTGTTATGGCTGGCTCTTCTTTGGCCTCCCCACTCAAATCCAAGTCCCAACCCAGTACTAATTCCCATTGATATTATTTTGTATTTGGTTTAGGTGAGTAGATAAAGGGGATGCTAAAGGAGTTTAAATATGAAAATCTTTCCAGTGACTCAACCACTCTGTGAAGCAATGTTTTTTGTTGTAGAGAAACTTGCTCATGGCCACTTACTACATTGGTGCAGTTACTTCTTGATTGGCCAAATTAAACTAACAGTCACAAGTCTGTCCATTCAAGGGTTATTCTTTCTTTCAATCTCACTGTACCTTAAAACTGTTCATAATCGTAGAAAATATCAAATATGAAATGTACCTACAAGCACGGGGAGGAGGATATTGGGGATACTGCTTTACTCACTAGGAAAAATCCAGTGTAGTTAAATATTAACACAGGTACCTTTATTTTTAAACTAAAACATACATTTTATAGTAAAAAAAAATAGTCAGTGATGATATTTCATGCTATTTCTACTATTCTTTGTCATCCACATCCTGGGGTATACGTAACTAATTTATCCATGCATTAGAAACTGTTCTGTTTGTAGTCATGATCATCTAGGAAAAACCTCTATACCCTGTGAACTCAAGCTTATTTCCTAATGTCATATGGCACAACTCCAAAATCTGGATTAGCCTTGACCTTTCTTCTATAAGGGCCTCATTGCCAAAATTTCTACAACACACCTACTATAGAAAGTTCCTAATTTTCAACTATCTTTAGAACAACTTTCAAACAGGGTCATGAAATAAATTTAGGATGTCATGGCCAGTATTGTTTAGTAAAATAAAATTAATAGAATAGAATTGATCAGGATAAATTGCCTATAGTGGGATTAGTACCATTTTGTGAAAGTTTTGTTATACAGGTGTATATCAGGTCATCATGTAAAATCTGCGTTTTACTCAGGTCACTGTCAAAAAAAC